AGAGGATTGATTTATATAGTGTTTATGATTTCTTCAAGTTGTGAAATATATCCCTTTGATATTTTTTTCTAGACATACATTTTTCAAATAATGGTTTCTAATCAGTAATATATTTAAACATGCAGGATACAGTTTATACTTTTTAATTATGGAAATTTCAAATACTGTATAGTATATGGCATGTGCTTTTGTGTATATATGTATATAATATATATTTTCACAATATGTATAATATCGTTTGAATGTTGTGTATGCTGCTGAGGTTTAGTAAAAGTTAACTCTTTGCTACATTTCCTGCAGCAATACAGGCTCCAACTCTGCTCACCTTTGTGCAGGATTAATATGGTTTATATATATAAACCAAAAATATATTATATATAATATATTTATATCATGTATATAATATAATATATAATATAAACCATATATAATATATAATATATGTTTTATATATATGTATATATATAATTTTTTTGATGTTTGATGTTTCCAGATTGTAGTTGCTCTAGCATTAAGGAGGGGATATATAGGAAGCAAAAATAAACAAATCAAAGCCCACAAACCTAGGGAATGCACTACTGGGCCATGAGTTCTGAGCTCATTGCCTTTTGCTTACCTAAGGACATTGTTCTAAAATTACTCCTCTCCTGTCTCATCAATTTTCCCTTTCTAATAAATTTGTATTTATGCCAATCAGTATAAAAAAGTGCAACTTCTCCTAATTTAAAAAGTTGTTCTTTCTAAAAGACAGCCTAGTTAATGGGAAAAGACATTTGCAAATGACATGTCTGATAAAGAGTTAGTATCCAAAGTATATAAAGAGCGTATACAACTCAAACCTAAAAAACAATCTAATTAAAATGGACAGGAGACACGAATAGACATTTCTATAAGGAAGACATACAGATGGTCAACAGACACATGAAAAGATGCTTAACATCACTCATCAGTAGGGAAATGCAAATGAAAATCATGAGATATCATCTCACACCTGTCAGAATGGCTAAAATCAACACTTTAAACAACAGGTGTTGACGAGGATGTGGAGAAAGAGGAACCCTCTTATACTGTTGGTGGGAATGCAAACTGGTAGCCAGTGTGGAAGACAGTATTGAGGTTCCTCAAAAAAATAAAAATAGAACTACCATATGATCTAGTAATTCCACTTCTGGGTATTTAGCCAAAGAATGTGAAAACACTAATTAAAAAAGATATATGCACCCCTATGTTTATTGCAGTATTATTACAATAGCTGCTATGGAAGCAGCCCAAGTGTCCATTGTTAGATGAATAGATAAAGACAATGTGGTATATGTGTACAGTGGAATATCAATTCAGCCCTACAAAGGAAAGAAATCTTTCCATTTGCAATAACATGGATGGATCCAGAGAATATAATGCTAAGTGAAATAAGTCAGCCAGAGAAAGACAAATACCATATGATTTCACTCATATATGGAATTGGAGGAAAAAAACAAAACAAATGAACAAAGGGAAAATAAAAAGAGACTAAAAAAAGAAAGGAGAGAAACCAAAAAACAGACTCTTAACTATAGAGAACAAGGGGAGGTGGGGGGGGATGGATGAAATAGGTTAAGGGGGTTAAGAGTACACTTATCTTGGTGAGCACTGAGTAATGTATAGAACATTTGAATCACTGTATTGTACACCTGAAACTAACACTGTATGTTAACTATATCAGGTTTTAAAAAAAGTAATTCTCTCACGTTTCTTGTTCACACTTACTCCTCCTACTACTTTGTCATTGTTCTGTATCTATGAATAATGCAGTAAATTAAGTTGATTCATAATCAAACAGGACTTTCTTTTTTTTTTTTCACTTAAAAATATTTATTAAAATAAAAATAAACCTGAAAAAAGAATTACCAAAATGCACCCCTTTGCATAGTAGTTCAGGAATAAGGGAAGGGCAGGGCAGGGAAAGGAAGGAAGAGAAAGGGAAAGGAAGGCAAGGGGACTTCCTTGCTTATATACAATAATGAAATGGTTCATTAAAGCAGTACAGAAACTTATTTTCAGATTATGTACATTTGCGTAAACATGGTACACATTTGAAATGTCAGTGTTTTATTTCCTGTACTGTATTTAGCTAAGAATTTCAGAGTAAATTTCTGCATTAAGATACTTGTTTTAAGTGCCAAGTAATTATTCATTTGTAACCCCCCCCCCTAAAAATATACCAAAAAAATGATTAAAACCAGTGGGGGTAGAAGTAGGTCATCTCCTAGTTAAGTGGAAAATTGCACAGTTGGTCTCTGGAGGACTTTGGTTCTAAGCAGTTTTAAAAGAAAACATTTTGGGAGCACCAAAACATTTTGGACTCAATTGGTTAAGTGTCCGGCTCTTGATCTCAGCTCAGCGCTTGATCTCAGGGTCGTGAGTTCAAGTCCTGTATTGGGCTCTGTGCTGGGCATGAAGCCTATTTAAAAAAAATTAAAAAATAATTAAAAATTTAAAAAATGTTAAAAGAAAAAAATATTTTGTGTAGAAATACAAAATTTCTTCAGTTTCTAATAATTAACATTCTCTTATAGATATTCATATTAGTTACTTGAATTCAGTGATACTTCTACTAATTTTGTTTCAGGATTCAGACTTGTTTTTTAGCCCAACTGATATTAGTATTGATCATTACCATATATAATATACATTGTGCTTACTTTGTACTTCAAACTCTAACAAATGAGAATAGTAAAATCAAAGTTGAATGCATGGCAAAGAATCTGATTGGACATGATTGTGGCACAGGCTAGAGTCCATAAAAGAAGAATGTCTGCACACTTGGGTGCTTCACCCTCCACTCATAGCTACGTAGGTGTCCCCTCTTCCCGATCCTTACTTCCAAGAGGCTATCTACTCTTGACTTCTCAATACTTAGTTTCATAGCAAATATAGTTATGCAAATTATTGAAACTATTTTTGAAGTGTTTACATTTCCTCAGTTATATTTTTTCTTGATAGATATTACCTGTTCTGAATATTGCATTCCTACCTCTCAACCCTTGCCCCCTGCAACTGACCAGGGTGATCACTATTCTCTTTTTTAATCAAACAGACACTAAGTTCTGGTTTTATTCCTATCTCATAGCTTGCTCTCTCAGCCTCCTTGGTTGGCTCCTCCTGAGGGTCTGATTATTTACACTGGCATGCCTCAGGGCTAAGCCTTTCACCTCTGCTTTTTAACTGGTGGTTTTCTGGCTTCATTGTATCTAAATTCATCTAAAATCCTGATAATTTCCAACTTGTCTTCTCCTAAACAAACCGTTAAGCTGGGTTCAGCATGTCACTTGGGAATTCAGTAAGTATCTCAACCTACGCGTCTTCAAAACTAAGCTCATAATTTTTCCTCCGGCTTTCCCAAAATAAGACCTTGTCTTCTTACTCATCTTGGTTAATGGTGACTTTTTGTAAGTCTTGTATCAAAAAAGGTTTACCTTTCTTTTTTCAAATGCTACATCTGTTTATTCAGCTAATTCTTTGTGTTGTACCTACCCAATACATTCCTAGTGACTGACTTCTTGTGACCTCCACTGCTGTCACCCTCACCACCATCACCTTTTGACTACATCTTGCCACAGCTTCTTTACAAGAATCATAGTTAAGACTTGTGGGTTTGTCTTTATTTAGGTTTTTGTATTTCTTTCCTGTCATGATTGCATTTTCTTCAATAAACTCCATGACTTCTATTCCTACTATCTTTGATCTTTAAGTGTTCCTTCTCAAAATTGCAACCATATTCCTATGCCTACAGCAGTTTATCTCCTTTATGCTAGTTTATTTTTCTCCAAAACACTCATTGGCATCTGTTATACTATACACTTGGGTTATTTATTAATTTCTAATGTCCATCCAATACAAGTTTCATGAGGACTGAAATTTTTATTATTTATTGTTGTGTCTCCTATGCCTAGAACACTGGCCTATTGAATTTGCTGCTATACTTTCTGGAAGTCAGGTGACAATTGGAAATGTGTACTATTGCATAATGCTCATTATCTCATATAAATTCTGAGAAAGACAAAGTGTTGCCTTACACTAAATTGTAGGGCAATACATGAGGTAGACCTTATAAAGTATATAGTAAGCAACATAAAGAGTGATGCCTTGATACTTTTAACAATAATTTCAGTGATATTATACTTATCTTTACTTTTTATTTTAATAGTGTTTAATGTCTGAGGGCATAGCATGAAAGATATATATCTAAAACAGAGAAGTCATCTATAAAATAATTTGAAATGTTTTTTTAGAGGTGACGGTTTAACATTAATGAGTAATTCTTCACTCCTGTATAGCCTGTGAAGCTACTCATGATATATAACATTCAAATGTTTCACCTTGGTTTCAACATTATATATGAAAAAATTAAAAATTGTTTACCCTTATTTCTTTTTGTCAATTGCTACTGAGTCACTTCTGTAGAATGATGTTTATCATAGATGCATTTAAAAAATGCTAAAGATAAAAATTTCCATAATAATAAAGGAACAAATAAATGCATCTTAGTACGTGTTGAAATATTATTTATCTATTAAATTTCGTGTTTTCAAAAAATTATGACTTTTTGAAAGTAGGGTACAAAATATATGCCTGTCTCTTTTTCTATCTACAACATTTTAAAAGGAATAAAATGCACCAAAATGTTGCCTATATTTTTCTCTCATTGTAAGGTTATGGTTGACTTTTAGTTTTTTGTTTATTTTTGTGTAGTTACCAGATTGTCTACTGTGTTTGTAAAACATTTGTAATGACAACAGAAGTAATACATATGATTTTTAAATAATTAGGACTTCTACCATATCTGTCATTTGCTTTTTATTGCTCAATGACAGAGAATTATTTTTTGTCAATCTTGAATGGCCTCTGATAATTAATGATAATCATTTTTAATACTGATATGCAATATGTTTTCATCTAACTTTTGCTTATCGAATAGTTTGTAAAAGTGCATATCAGGATTGTATTTTTTTCCCCCACAGACAGCCTTTTGATTGACTATCAGTTTACCTTCAGCTTATTACAGGAAGATGATCGCCACCATACTGCCATAAACTTCATAGCGAACCCAGAACAGGTGAGAAAGTAATTTAACCTTTATAATTGTTACATTAATATCCAGGGATATAATTTTTTGTCATGTTTTATTGTAATTTTAACTGCAGTTAAAAAGGCCCTATAGGGCTTCTGAAGAAAGACTAATCCTGTTATTTTTTCTTTTCATGAAAACTTGTGTATCCTTGTGATTCAGGGAGTTTGTGAGTTTGGTATTTCAGATTTTGCAAGGTCCTACAATTTAAATGATATATTTTTATTATTTTTTCAGTCTTACAACGGTGTTTGTGCATGTAATTATGCTCTCAAACTGGGGGTAGCCTTATTTGAAAATAAAATCCAGGTTTTCAAAGCATGCTATATTATATATGTTCTTTTTCTTATAGATTGTTACACAGTAGTAGATTTTCCTCATCTGTTAAACAAATCTACTGGTTTATCTAATTTAGATGAATACTGGCTTCTTTTTTTTTTTTTAACATTTATTGGGATATAATTGACCTATTACACTGTGTAAGTTTAATGTGTATAACATGTTACGTGGATACATTCATATGTTACAATATTATTACTATAGTAACATTAGCTAACACCTCTATCATATCACATGATTATGTCTTTTTTATGGTGGGAATAATTCAAATCTAATCTCACTAACTTTGAAGTATATTATACAGTACTGTCTATAATAACTATGCATTACATTTGATCTCTCGGACTTGCTCATCTACTTGTTACAAGTTTTTATCCTTAAACAACACCTGCCCAATTTCTCCCAACTCCAGTCCTAAGGGGTTTTATTTAGCTTTTATAGATTTCACATATAAATGATACCATTAAAAGTATTTGCCTTTCTCTGTCAGACTTATCTCACTTAGCACAATGGAGTACTTGTTTCTTTAAGCAATTTACTGCATCAGTGACATAATTTAAAAACTTGATGAAGCTTAAATGTATGAAAGATTATCAGTTATCACAGGAAAAGGCTCTAAGTTTGTTTGGAAGTAACATATATTCCTACCCATCTGAAACCTAATGTAGTTAAAAAGGCAAAGGAATGAGAATATCAACCATTTGGTTTATTTGGGTGGGGTTTTAGTTGTTTTGAAAGTGAAAATAACTCTTTCAAAATGAAGATGTTAAAAAAAGTGAAGATGTTAGTGAAATATTTGAATCATTCTTTTTTGTTTATTTAGAACACTTAATATAAGATCTACTTTCCTAAAAAGTTTTTAAGAGTTCACGTACTGTATTGTGAACTATAGATGCTATGTTGTACAGAAGTAGAACTTATTCTTCTTGCATAACTGAAACTTTTATCTTTTGAATAGTAATTCCACATTCCCCCATCCCCCTAGACCCCCACCTCTGGCAATCACCAGTTTCTTCTCTGTATCTATAAGATCAGGGTTTCATTTGGTTTTGTTTAGATCACACACATAAGTGAGATTATATGGTGTTTGTCTTTCGATGACTTATTTCATTTAGCATAATACCCTCAAAGTCCATTCATGTTTATGCAAATAGCAAAATATTATGTTTTATCGCAAAATACTATTCCCTTGTATATTTATACCACAACTTTTTTGTCCATTCATCCATTGATGGACACTTATGTTCATTCCATATACTGGGTATTATAAATAATACTGCAGTGAACATGCGGTACATTTTTTAAAGTTTCTGTTTAGGTGTTTATTTTTGAATATTATGAAATCAATGAATATGAAGAAAAGGTAATATATAATTTTAATAGTTTGGTACACAGGATTCAAATGTGATCATGTGTATCATTTTCTAAGTTCAAATTTTTTTTCTTTTTTTTCTTTCATAATTTATTGTCAAGTTGGATTCCATATAACACCCAGTGCTCATCCCAACAAGTGCCCTCCTCCATACCCATCAGTCCCCTTCCCCCCTCCCCCACCCCCATCAGCCCTCAGGTTGTTCTCAATATTCAAGAGTCTCTCATGGTTTGCCTGCCTCCCTCCCTCTCCCCAACTATTTTTCCCCTTCTCTTCCCCAATGGTCCTCCGTTAAGTTTCTCCTAATCCTCCTATAAGTGAAAGCATATGGTGTCTGTCTTTCTCTGCCTGACTTATTTCACTCAGCATAATACCCTCAAGGTCCATCCATGTTGCTACACATGGCCAGATTTCATTCTTTCTCATTGCCATGTGGTATTCCATGGTATAGATAAACCACACCTTCTTGATCCATTCATCAGTTGATGGACACTTAGGCTGTTTCATGATTTGGCTATTGTTGAAAGTGCTGCTATGAACATTGGGGTCCATGTGCCCCTGTGCATCAGCACTCCTGTATCCCTTGGGGTACATTTTTTTGTTTTTGTTTTTGTTTTAATTTTCTTTAAATAAATTTTTGTTTTCTTTAAATAAATACTCAAAAGTGGAACTGATGGATCATATGGTAGTGTAGTTATATTTTTAATTTTTTCAGGAACTTCCATACTCTTTTCCATAGTGTCTGCACTAATTTACATTTCTGCCACCAGTGCATAAGGGTCTCCTTTTTCCCCACAACTTTGCCAACACTTGTTATTTCTTGTCTTCTTGGTAGTAGACATTTAGACCAGTGTGAGATGATATCTCATTATGCTTTTGATTAGCATTTCTCTGATAAATAGTGATATTGAGCACCCTTCTGTGGCCATCAGTATGTCTTTATTAGAATAAGTCACAGGAATAAAAGGTACGACAGAGGGAATATAGTCAATGATATTGTAATAATGTTGTGTGGTGACAGATGGCAGTTGCACTTGTGGTTAGCATAAGGATGTTGAAATGGTATGTTATACACCTGACACTAATGTAACATTGCTTGTCAACTATACTCAAAAATTTCATTAAAAGTCTATTCAGATCCTTTGTCCTTTTTTATTTTTATTTAAATTCCAATTAGTTGACATACAGTGTAATGTTAGTTTCCGGTTTGAATTTAGTGATTCATCACTTACATACAACACCCCGCACTCATCACAAGTGCCCTCTTTAATACCCATCACTCATTTAAGCCATTCCCTTACCAACCTCCCATACAGCAACCCTCAGATTGTTCTCCAGAGGTTAGAGTTTGTTTTCTGGTTTGCCTCTCTCTCTCTTTCCCCCTTGGGCTTATCTGTTTTGTTTCTTAATTTCTACATGAATGAAATACATACAGTGTTTGTCTTTCTCTGAGTTATTTTGTTTTGCATAATACTTGCTAGCTCCATCCATGTTGTTGCAAATGGCAAGATTTCATTCTTTTTGATGACTGGCTGATATTTCATTGTATATGAATACCACATCTACCTTACCCATTCATCAGTCAATAGACATCTAGACTCTTTCAATACTTTGGCTATTGTTGATAATGCTGCTATTAAACATCAGGGTGCATGTATCCCTTTGAATCAGTATTTTTATATCTTTTGGGTAAATACCTAGTAGTGCAATTGCTTGATCATAAGGTAATTCTATTTTTAACTTTTTGAGAAACCTACATCTTATTTTCCAGAATGGCTGAATCAGTTTGAATTCCTACCAAGATTTTAAGAGGGTTCCCCTTTCTCTGGATCCTCACAAACATCTATTCTTTCCTGTGTTGTTAATTTTAGCCATTCTGATAGGTGTGAGGAGGTATCTCATCATGGTTTTGACGTGTATTTCCCTGGTGGTGAGTGATGTTAAGCATCTTTTTGTGTGTCTGTTGGTCATCTGTATATCTTCTTTGGAAAAATGACTATTAATTTTTTCTGTCTGTTTTTTTTTAATTTTTTAAAATGTTTTATTTATTTCTAGGAGGGAGGGAGAGAGAGAGAGAGAGAGACAGAGACAGAGACAGAGACAGCGTGAGCAGGGGAGGGTCAGAGAGAGAGGGAGTCACAGACTGAAACAGGCTCCAGGCTCTGAGCTGGCAGTCAGCACAGAGCCCGACTTGGGGCTCGAACCCACGAACCGCGAGATCATGACCTAAGCGAAAGTTGGACGCTTAGCCGACTAAGCCACCCAGGCGCCCCTCTGTTTTTTAACTAGATTAATTTTGGAGTGTTGAGTTTGAGAAGTTCTTTATAGGTTTTGGATACTAACCCTTTTTCAGATGTGTCATTTGCAAATGTCGTCTCCCATTGCCGTAGATTGCCTTTTAGTTTTGTTGATATTTTGCTTTGCTGTACAGATACTTTTTATCTTGATGAAGTACCAACAGATTATATTTGATTTTGTTTCCCTTTCCTAAGGATCCATATCTAGTAAGAAGTTGCTAGTGCTGATGTCAAAGAGAATACTGTCTGTGTTTTCCTCTAGAATTTTGATGGTTTCCTGTGTCAGATTTAAGTTTTTCATCCATTTTGAACCTGTTTTTGTATATGGTATAGGAAAATGCTCCAATTTCATTCCTCTGCATGTGGCTATTCAGTTTTCCCTTCACCTTTGCTAAAGAGACTTTTTTCCACCAGATATTCTTTCCTGCTTTGTCGAAGAATAGTCGACCATATAAATGTGAGTTCATTTCTGGGTTTTCTATTTTGTTCCATTGATCTGTGTTTCTGTTTTTGTGCCAGTACCATACTGTCTGGATGATAACAGCTTTGTAATATAACTTGAAGTGTGGAATTGTGATGCTTCCAGCTTTGCTTTGCTTTTTCAGGATTACTTAGACTGTTAGGGGCCTTTGTGGTTCCATACAAATGTTAGGATTTGCTTCAAACAAATTGTAGGATTCTAGTTCTGTGAAAAAAGCTGGTGGTATTTTGATAAGGATTGCATTAAATGTCTAGATTGCTTTAGGCAGTATAGACATTTTAACAATTGTTCTTCTAATCCGTGAGCATGGAATGTTTTTCCATTTCCTTGTGTCATCTTCAATTTCTTTCATAAGTGTTCTATAGTTTTCAGAGTACAGATCTTTTACTTCTTTGGTTAGGTTTATTCCTAAGTATTTTATGGGTTTTGGTGCATTTGTAAATGGGAACAATTCCTTGATTTCTCTTTCTGCTTGCTTCCTTATTGATGTATAGAAGTA